TCGAGTATTACTGAGCTCGACTCGACTCAAAAACTCGTGAGCTTAAAATTTTTAAGCTCTACTCGAACTCGAAATCCTGAACTGAAGCTCGTGAGCAGCTCGAAAAGACTCGAAATGAAATTTTTTTCTTAAACTTAACAAGATTTAATCCTCAAACTCGAACCTGAACCTTAAATACATGAAAGCCTCATTGTAATTTAAAAAAAAAATCAACACATAAATGTTAATATTATTAATAATTTATTTTTAAAAAAAAATCTTAATATATTATATTTTTGAGTTGCTCACGAGCTTTTCGAGTCGAGTATCAAGTAGCTTGTTTCGGCTCTTTAAGAATTCGAGTCAAGCTCGATTTCGAGTCGAGTCCATTCGATCTAAGTATTTATCGAGCCTTGACCGAATCGATCTTGAGTAGCTTGCGATCTATCTCGTCTCATTTACAGCCCTAACTACAACTGAGTTTTCGTGTAAGACTGAAAAATTTGAGTAAGTATGGAGAAGAGGTGTATAACTTAGCAGATGAGATACTCGAGGAAACATGGGCACATGCATATGATGATCAAGGTCGACGTTACGGTCATATGACAATCAATCTTGATAAGTGTATCGATTTAGTGCTAAAAGGGACTAGACATCTTCCGGTGGCAAGTATAGTTCAAGAGACATACTTCAGATTGGGTAAAGTTTGGGCAGACAAAGCTGCCCAGGTAGAAGCAATGCTCAACGAAGGTATAAATTGGGCTCCATATCTGAAGAAAACAATGACCAAAAATCAAACACATGCAACATTAATGTATGTTTGTAATTTCACCATACTGGAATATGATTATATTGTCCAAGTACTTGTTCAACCACATGAGGTGGGACTTCTACCACCTATATTGGTAATCTGAATAGAAGATGGTGTTTTGTGGTCGATTTTAAGCCTTCAGATACCCATGCACTCACGCGGTTGTTGCATGTATGAATGTCAATGTACACCCATACATTTAAGTTGATGATTGTTATAGCTTGCATACTATACACAACATATACAGTTGCGAGTTTAAGTATCTCTCGAACGATGCATATTGTCCACTTACTGTTTCTGAAGAATGGTTGCCCAATCTGCAATTACGAATGAAGTTGAGGGGTTGTCCTGAATATTGTAGAATGCATACTAATTTGGATTACCCTCAAATAGAGCAAGGCCTGCCGAAGCTATGTGGCCACTGCAGAGGTGAAGGCCACAATAGGAAGCACTGTCCATATCTTCTAAGATATCGAGCAGGCCGATAAATCCTTTGTAATCGTATTCTCATGTTATATCGATTTTACAAATATCAATGATGATTTTTCTTTCTAATGTGCATTTCTGAAAGTCTAATCTAATGTTTATAGTTTATTGTTCTTTTCAACATAATCTACCATATTTTGGAGAGAGAAAAATCATACAGAACTCATCACCTCGATATTATGAATTTTAGTGATTTTTTTCTTCCCAATATTAAATTCGCACAATAATCTGAAAAAATAATTTTTTAATGGAACTTGTCACCTCGAGTTCTACAAAAAATATTAAAATATTAGGTCCAAAATATAAAAATTATATCCCATAGAACTCGCCACGTCGAGGTGACGAGTTCATCCAGAATTGTAGAAAATGTCGTAGATCCCAAATTAATTTCCTATTGAGCTAAATAATTAAAACGGGTGCCCTATTGGGGAAAAAACCGAGGCATAATCCCATTCATCTAATAAAATCTCAAATTGATGAAAAAATGGGAAAGAGAAAAGAAAACGTTAAAAAAAAGAAAAAAAAGAAAACGTTAAAAATATTTTACTTCTTTTAATTATATTTATTTCGGCATTTGTTAAAAAAGAAAAAAAGTTAAATTCTTTTTATTTAATCTTTACATTATGTAAACTTTATTAATTTAATTTTTATATTGTTTAAAATTTAAAGGGTAAACTACACGTTTAATACATAAGCTATCAGTTTTGATCTACTGTGGTACCTAAACTTTCATTTTTTTTAAAAATCATACATAACATTTAATTTTTATTTCATTTTGGTACCCCACTGTTAAAAACTTAACGGACGGGCTCATCGGCGTCGCGTCTACAATCATCAGTCGTCGTGTCTATAGTAGTTGATCGTCGAATCAGTTGGTTGATGAAACATAAACTTTCAAGCTCGAACCTTTTCGATCCAATGAATTCGATTTTAGCCTCTATTTCACTGGAAAATACATCAATCTCCCCAAATAGACGACATACTCTTTGATTTCTTCATACTCCGATCTCCATGGTCCACCGCCCGATGGGCTTGAAATTGGAATATTTTGGTTGACTCGTCATTCACTCGTGTTATATTGTTCGAATTAGTTGTCCATCCACCAGAGCTATGCCACATCAACCCATTCGTTAATTTTTAACAACGAGATACTAAAATGAAACAAAAACTAAACGTTAGGTATGATTTTGAAAAAAATAAAAATTTAGATACTAAAACATATCAAAAATGATAGTTTAGATACTAAATGTAAAGTTTATCCAAATTTAAAATACTGACCTTGATATTAAGTTATATTAAGTCCAACTCAATTATTTGCCAATGTATTATGCTTATGTTGTAAATTTATTTCGTATTTAATTAATATTTTTTATTTTTATAATTTAATTTTATTATGTACATATTGTTCGGGATCTTGATTGAAATTTTAAATTTTGATCATTATATGATTAAAATTAATTAAATAAAATACACAAATTAAAGATTACTTGAACATAGCAGAATTTGACTAGGCAAGAATGTGATCATAGGTTTTGGTACGTAAACTCCAAGAAATTTCCCTATTGTCGGGTTCTTCCAATATAAATTAATTGCAATTGGATTTCATCCGATCTTATTATTAACATTATAATCTCATTTATTACAACCGTGTCTCTAATATGTTGCATTTATTTTCTTCTATATTTTATTAGATTTCATATTTAAAAGTTTAGCTTTTCTTCTAATGAAAATTTTTAAATTTTTTTATGATAATAAAAATATAAAATAAATCTTGAATTATAGAAACATAATTATATTAATTTCAGAGATCGAGGCATGGCGAGTGGGGGCGGTCACCCCTTAAGAATCTAAAATTACTATATATTTTAGATTTTTCTATGTATTTTCTATTAAAAATATGTTTTCGTCTCTCTAAAATTTTATAAGTTTAAGTTCAACACTAAAATTTTATAAATTCAAGTTTACCTCCTAACATAAAATCCTGCTTCTGCTCCTGATTAATTTCACTCTATTTTATAAATCAAGAGTTATAGCAATTTGGTTTATTGATTGTTGATAAAAATATTTAAAATAAAGGTAAATTATGCGAGATATTAAACTTTAGATAATGTATGGTTTATATCACTAAATGTTTAATTACTTTAATTATGACAATAACTTTGAGTTTGACTTCAATTATATCATAAGGTGGCTAAATTTCAAAAATTGTAATAATATGGACAAAACAATATTGTTTCAGTGAAGTTATGGATGTCTAAAATGATTTCGTTTTAGGTACTAAACTTTAGGAGTGTATCAATTTTGTCACTAAACTTTTAAATAAATCATTGACGGTGAATTGTTGACTGTCAACGATCGTCTTTTATGGCAATATCAACATAAAAATATTTGCATTCACTACCTTTTCTTCTCTTAGGATTGGTTTTTCATTAAACCCACTCAAAATCAATAAAATTAAATAAAAAATATCATTTTAAGCGTTTGGGACCTTTATCATATTTGAGGATATGGTGTGTTTGTTCAAAAATACAATTGATAAAATATATTATTTCGAGAAGACGAATAACATACCTCAAAACTAGCTTCTTCGAACGACCATTGGAGGATACCAAAATATTAGCATGTCAAAATTTTAGATATATTTTTATTAATTTTTAGTAATTTTTTTTATAAAACCAATAAAATGAGAAGAAAGAAGAGTGAAATGTGAATATTTTAATATCAATCCTGTTACAAATGACGACAAGTGACTGACTACTAACGATGACGAAAAAGGTTTTAGTGCCAAAAATTGAATTGATTTTAAAGTTTAATAACAAAATTGATGCACTTCTAAAGTCTAATGCCTAAAGCAACATCAATTGAGCGTCAATATCCGCACTAAAATGAAACAATTTGGTCCATATCATCACGACGTAAGAAAGTCCTATCAATATTATTGTGTCGCTTAAACTTAATGTTCCAATAATATAATTAAAGTAAAAAAGTCAAAATTTAATATATAAATAATACACTACTTAAATTTTAATGGTATATAATATAATTTATCATTAAAATAAAAAAAATTCCAACATCAATCAGCTGGCCTAATGAGAAAGGACACTAAATTCCTCGAGTAAGGTCAGGAGTTCGAATAGTAAATTACAAAACTTTATTTGAATTAATCAATCGATAAATTATATTCTAATGACTAATTAAAAAATGGAATAATTCGAACAATAACGTTTTAATCAAAATCTTGAATCAACCCTTGTTGAATTGAATGATAATAAATTAAATATCAATAAGGTAAAAAAATTAATTTCTGTTTAGAAATTAATCCGATTCAACATTCAAACTCTTGATGTAAAATAATTTTTAGTAATAAAGAATATCATTATCCAAATCCGATTGCTGAAACCTTAACCAATTATGAAAATAAAATATTCGTCATTAATGCTAATTGACAGCTTTCTTCCGGCATGCTTAGTCATCCTTAAAAATATCACAAGCCAAATAACTCAATCATGCGCGTTTTACGCGCGTGTCACTTCAACCGACTTGCGCAATTTCATAATAAAGAACCCTAAGACGGCGCCGTATTAGACACTATTGTCTTATTCGCCGCCGTCTCCGCTCTCAACGGAAGAGACCAATTAGAATTCAGAAACAAGAAATTAATTAATATAATAATAAATACATTAAAGAAAAGGAAATTCAAAAAGTCTTTCTACAATAAACCAATCCATTCATTTAAATCCAAAGAAAAAAGCCACCCACCGCGTTCTTCACGATTCTCTTGTCAATTGTTTTTCTTTTTTGTAATTTTTCTTTACAAAAAGTCGCATCTAATTTGTGACCGCCAACTGTACAAGAAACTTCCCCGTGATTTCTTCGTTGAATCGATGCGATTGGATCCCAATAATTTGTTCTTTTTTTGTGAATTGGCCGGGTTTTAGTAGGATTTTTTATTAGGGTTTTCCTTTTTTTGGTTTCGATGTTGCTGATGGCGGAGGATAAGTATAATGATAGCTTCGCTGATTGTAAGTTCAATGATGATTTCGCTGGCGATGGTCTCAGCATGGATATCGACAGCTTGATTCGTATTCTTGAGGAGAGGTCTGATGATCCTCCGCAGGTAGTTAGTTACTTTTTTTCACGGTTAAATTCGGCGCCACTTTTGGGGTTATGGAGGGTGAAGATTTCTAGTGTGGAATTTTCGAAAAGGAATTTGTTGTGTGGATCACGTACTATTTCATTGAAAACCCTTGCAAGTTACCTCTTCACGTATCGAGTTATAAGCAATGAGTCAATGGCTGCTTAATGTTAACTGGTTTTATTTATAACTATTGTATTGCACTATGATTATTTTTTTTGGAATTTATTTAGTTCAAGGACTTCCTTGCTTAATTTTTGAATTTGAAGTTCTAGTTCATATAATTTAAGTTGCTGAAATTGTAATTGACTATGCTCTACTTTGAGTCTCTAGGCTTATAGATTGTTAAACTGATATTTCATGGCTTTTTTTATGTTGGCCCTTGTTTCTCTGTTATAGCTCAATTCTGTTTTCTATTATTTCATTGGGTAAGTTATCTTTTCTTTGCTAAATTTCAGAGTAATCCAAAAGATCTATCACCTAGAAATATGTCTCAGAGGAACTCGGGTCTCCAATCCATCCAGTTTCAGAGTGGTAAAATTTCTTAGCAGAAACATTTTCTTTATATTTTTTTTAATATAATGAAAATTTGATGATTTTCTCTTGCTTGGGATTTGAAGATTCACCTTCCTTGGGGTTTACTTCTGGTGGCTCATTTGATTATCACGGGAATTTAGAACCCTCACCGGTCCAAACATCCTCTGCTAGTTTGAAAGAGTGGTCTGCTTGTCAAGGGACATCCTACAGAGAGAGGGCTGAAATGTCTCTGCTTGAGATGCCCAGCTGTAGTACAACATCTAGTTTTACTGAGATAGATGGCAACCATGTGTTAGATCACGGAGATAATTTAAATTTTGATCTTGTGGATGATGAAACTAGCTTATGGTCCATCAATACTAAAGTGGAGTTTGACTTCAAAAGTATGTTTCCTACTTCATGCTTTGACCTAAACAATGTCTTTCAGTTTTGCATTTATAATTTCTGTAGGTCTCTCCCTGAAATTTTTAGTGGAAATGCTGATTCTTGTTTATTGAATATTCAGATGCTTTGCAAAGACCTGCTGATGAGAATACAAACATAACATTTGATCAGTATGGTGATTTTCTAACTAATTCAGTGACAAGCCTTGAAGCTCCTGATATTGAGGTAGCTAGGTCTGTGGAGTTTTCTTCCTTTGATGCAGCTATGAGTTCACACAATCTTACTTCTAATAAGTCTATCATCTATCATGGTTCTGATATGGTTAGTGATGTTAGTGGTCCTTCTTCAGTTATACCTCATTACATGAATGGAAATGATCCATATTTTGCTGATTCCTCAATGCAACACTTGCGTGGTTCCTTCAATTTTATGTTTGAAGAAAATAAGGAGGGTGAAGTTCTGGAATTTCCCACTGAGAGTGCATACTCAAGTAGTAGGACAATCTATGCTCAGGGAAGAACTGATAATGGATCTGTGTCACAGCTCTCAATGACTGCTTTCTCTGATGTAAAGCCTCTACATTGTCAAGGTGACGGGAATGGACGTGTTTTACCAGCCTATAGCAAATTTTCTTACATTGCCGCTGATGAGCGCATTGATGAAAAAAGATCGGTGCAGTCATTCCCTCATTCTCATCCCCGTACTTCAGAAAACAGTCAAGTAGTTTTTGTAAAGAATGAACATAACAAATTGATTACATCTGGCAACATTTTCTCCGATTCTGCTGAACCTTTAAATGAAGCTAACCTAAGAAAGTATAATGGCAGAGATGCTGATTCACTTGATGAAGCCTTAAAGCATTCACCTGACATTTATTCTTCTATATCTAATCAGGAGTTTATGGTTTTTGGCAAGGATGCTCGTCACGATATAAATGTTAGTAGTAAATCTTTGTTTGGTGATGACCATTTGAATTTAGCCTCAGAGCAATATTTTTCCAGTGCTCACCCAATTACTTCAACCAAGGTGCAGTTAAGTTGTTTTCAGGATGGAAGAGAGAATAAGTTGATTCCTTGTAGGAATTTTGGTCTTTCAAAAGTCAGCCCTGAATCTATTCATAGCAATTCCTCAGATTGCGGATCCCATGTTTATGATGACCCTGATATATGCATTCTTGAAGATATTAGTCAACCAGCCAGCCCAAACCAATCCCTGGTGCTTGTGAAGAAGACTTCAAATTTGCTGAATACATCTGGTACTCAGCCTCATAACTCAGGAGTGGGGGGTATCAGGCTTAAGGGAAATGATGAACAGTTAATTTTTCAGGAGGCATTGCAGGTTAGTGCTACTTGTTTGAGGTTGCATTGTTTCTGCTTTTACGCCTTGCTGAATCAACAGAGTTCGGTTGAATTTCTGGGGGTTGTCAGCATTACAGTGCACTTCTGTTAACTTGCTAGGGAAAAGATCTGTCTTTTGCTTATTCTGTGTTACATCTTTACTTAGTTGTTCATTATCTTTGAAACCCCTCACACCCCCCACCCCCAAGAAAAGAAAAGAGAGTTACCTTGGAGTGGTTTAATGTAATAGTGCCCCTAATATTTCCCTGGTCTCTTTCGACGAATTCTGCTTCCAAAACTTGCTTGTCTCTGACTGCCAAAGAAGTTGAGTATCATCTGTTATAATGGTTAAATATAATAGGGCTGTTAATGATTTGCCAACCTGTTTGATTGAACCACTCTCTGATAAAGAGTTCCAAAATTTTGCGATCTGCCCTTTGATGACTCTTTTCTGATGTTTTTGCCCAAAAGACAAAATAATGCTTTGGAAGAGTGAAACTGAACTCTTGATAAAAGATGATTGTGGTTCTTCCATTATCAAACCTGTTTTATGGAGGCTTGACCATGAGTGAAACAATATCTTATAATTCTAAAGATGTTTCCACTGTTTGGTTTCTGTCACTGTACCTTCCTTGCTTCATGTTCTTTCAAATAGCACTAGGGCCTTGCATTTGGCCAAAAGAGCTTTTGAATGAAATACTGCTCCATTAACTGTTACAATGTGTAATGAAAAGTTTTGAATAAAAACTTCAAGAGTTTAGATTCTTTCAAGTAACTTCTCAGTTCAATTCAACTTTCCGTCAAATTGGGTTTCACACGATAGATTTCATGTTGAAAATGTTTTGCAAGATAGATATTTAGGCTCCTTTGATACTTCTGTGTGGATGTCTTGATGTTGCCTTATTTATGTTGTTCCTTATTTATGAGATAAATTGGTGGTTTTTTTTTATTAGAATAAATGTTGTGTATAATGTTTATGGCTTTATGTTTACCTGATTAATAAAATTGGTAGCCTAACAGGGCCTTTCTCAGCCAAAATCTGAAGCTAGTCCTCCAGAAGGTGTTTTGGCAGTACCTCTTCTACGACATCAGGTTTGAATTGTTCCATATCATATATTTTCTCCATATTTTACTCTGTGAATCTTGAGCTTCATAGGTTGAGAATTGTGGTAGTTTTATTGTGTTTAATTTAAGATATCGTGTTACTTATTAATTATGGTTTTACTGTTTTGAAAATTGTTCTTTACATGTTGCTTTTCTGATTTCTGTATGCTTGCATACCGACTGCCTATTTTCTCTTACATGTTTAATTGTGAGTGTTATGATTCTGTTCCAATTCCTTTCTAACATAACCTTGGACAGAGAATTGCTTTGTCATGGATGTCCCAGAAGGAGAAAGCTGGCTTACACTGTTCAGGAGGAATTCTTGCAGATGATCAGGTCAGTTCCAAATTCGGAAGTTGCCATGCACTAGTTAAATAACTAGTGAATCATGTTTTAATATATATTATTTATTGCAGGGATTAGGAAAAACTGTGTCAACAATTGCACTTATTCTTAATGAGAGGCCTTCTCCATCTTCTACAGCATCTTCTCAAGATATGAGAAAGGTTGAGCTGGAAACACTAAATTTGGATGACGATGAAGAGGTGAAGCAAGATTCTGATAACAATCAAGTTATGTTAAATGGTGCTTCAAATAAAAGCTCTAATCTACCAGGGAAAGAAAAGGGAAGGCCAGCTGCCGGAACTCTTATTGTATGTCCCACAAGTGTACTGCGGCAGTGGGCAGATGAGTTGCAGAATAAGGTGACAAGCAAAGCAAATCTCTCTTTTCTAGTGTACCATGGAACCAACAGGACAAAGGATCCTTTTGAGTTGGCAAAATATGATGTTGTCCTTACTACATATTCAATTGTTAGCATGGAGGTCCCAAAGCCGCCTCCTGTTCACGGAGATGATGATGAGAAAGGGAAGTTGGAAGGTGGCAGGGCTTCATCTCTGGATTTTCCACCAAGCAGAAAAAGGAAATACCCGCTTAGTTCTAATAAAAAAGGAGTGAAACACAAGAAGGGGGTGGATGATTTGCTTCTTGATTCTGCTTCTCGACCTCTCGCAAGAGTTGGATGGTTTAGAATTGTTCTAGATGAGGCCCAAAGCATTAAAAACCATAAAACTCAAGTTGCTAGGGCCTGTTGGGGCCTTCGTGCTAAACGTAGATGGTGCTTGTCTGGGACTCCAATTCAAAATGCCATTGACGACCTGTATAGCTATTTCAGATTTCTGAGATATGACCCATATGCTGCTTACAAATCATTCTGTTCTTCCATAAAGATCCCGATTACTAGAAATCCAGCAAAAGGCTATCCAAAATTGCAAGCTATCTTGCAGACAATAATGTTACGCCGCATGAAAGGTATTAACTATTTTTCTTTAGTTTTAGTTGGTCTTGCGGTGAAATCTGTTTCTACTGTGATGTTCCGTATCCAATTTATATGGTTGGTTGTAGTGTTTCCTTTAGAGTTTTATTTGCATGCAACTAAATGCAGTCACTTGTTATAATTTTTTGCCAACTTTTACAGGCACTATTCTTGATGGGAAACCTCTAATTAACTTGCCACCAAAAGTGATAGAACTGAAAAAGGTGGAATTCACAAAGGAGGAACGTGACTTCTATACTAGACTGGAGACTGAATCACGTGCTCAGTTTAATGTATGTTCTTTCTTAGTCCAACTAAATTTTAGATACTCGTAGATATTGCATGTTTCTTGTAGTTTTGCAGGATCTACCTAATGCCGCTAATAGTTAATGTGGCTTTATCATTATTCTATTACATTCTCAGGAGTATGCCGCTGCAGGAACTGTCAAACAGAACTACGTGAATATCTTGTTGATGCTTTTGCGTCTTCGCCAAGCCTGTGATCATCCTCTTCTGGTCAGAGGTTTTGATTCAAACTCCTCATGGAAATCGTCAATTGAGGTTGCAATGAAGCTTCCCCAGGAGAAGCTAACATTTCTTCTGAGTTGTTTATCATCTTTGGAACTCTGTGTCATCTGCAATGTATGTGGTTATTTCGGTTTGTTCTTTTAGTTTGTTTTTTTACACTTTCAGAACTGCTTCTCCTTTTACACTATTCCATTGATTTGTATTGCCGTCACATTTCTGTCTGTTAATATTATTTTTTAAGGATTTGAGTGATCAAATAAGTATTCATTCAATTAGAATTTAGATGTAATACTTGTTTGGGTATATTTAGATGGTTCAATTTTTAAGATAGATATATATATACATTTATGGTGCAGCTTGGGGTATGCATAGCTCTTTACTAAATTTTATCAAAGGTTCTCGCTAGAAGGTTGAGAGGGTGTATTAATGAAGTAGTAGGGCCATCACAATTTGCTTTTATCCCGGGACGGCTGATTATGGATTGTTCTTTCTTGGCCAACGAAGGAATACATTGGAGGAAAAAAGTCCTTAAAGGAGTGGCGTTTAAAGTTGATTTCAGGAGAGCGTATGACTATGTTGATTGGGGGATGCTGTTAAAGATTATGGAAAATATGGGATTTGGTAGTAGGTGGTGTTCATGGATTTTGAAATGTATTTCTACGGCCTCAATCTCTATTTTAGTTAATGGGTCCCCGACGGAAGAATTTAAAATTGCTAGAGGGCTTCGGCAAGGGTGTTCTTTGTCCCCATTGTTATTTAATTTGATCGGGGAAGTGCTACATTTGATGATGTCTAAGGCAATAAATATGGGGCTTTTTCGAGGATTTAAGATAGGGAAGTTAGGGAATTCTTTCATGTTATCACATCTACAGTTTGCAGATGATCTGCTAATCTTCTGTGATGCCTCTCTGGGTCAGTTGAAGAATGTTAGTAGAATACTTCGCTTTTTTGAGTTAATGTCAGGGCTGCAGTTGAATTTGGAGAAAAGCAGTATCGTAGGTATTAACATGGAAGAGTGTGTTTTGAAGGAATGGGCTGATGAACTTGGGTGTTATGTGGGGGAGTTTCCAATTGAGTATCTGGGTCTGCCTCTCGGTGCGAAGAAAAATTCAACCGTCCTTTGGGAGCCGATAGTTCATAGATTTTATAAAAAATTAGGAGGATGGAAAGTGGCTGCCTTGTCTCTAGCTGGGAGAGTGGTGTTAGTGAAATCAGTGCTTAGTTCCATGCCCATATATTATCTGTCCATTTTTAAAATTCCAACTTTGGTCTTGAAGAAGTTAAATTCGATCATGGCTAAGTTTTTATGGGGAGGGTCAGAAGAGAATAAGAAGATTCATTGGGTTAAATTGTTAACTGTGTGTCTGCCTAAACATTTAGGAGGCCTTGGTATTACAGATTTGAATTTACTGAATAGAGCACTCCTTGGGAAATGGGCTTGGAAATTTGCGATAGAGACAGACACTTGGTGGAAAAGATTGGTGTGCAGCAATTAAAATGTAGACCCGAGAGCGATTCGAATTGAACTTACAGCCAAGAACAGGGCATCCTGGATTTGGAAAGGAATTCTGAACAATTGCGTGAAGGAGGATGAGTTTGGGCAATGTTTCCAAAATAACTTAAAATTTCGGGTGGGGAATGGTGAATCTTTAAGGTTTTGGTTAGACAATTGGTTGGGTGGTTTACCTCTTAAGGTACAATTTCCGAGAATGTTTGAGTTAGCAGTTAATAAGGAGGGTAAGATTGCCGACTTCAGATGTAGAGAACAATCGGGCTGGGGTTGGAACATTCCTTTGAGAAGAAATCTTGTTGATTGGGAGGTGGTGCAATGGACAGAAATAATGTCATTGTTATATAATATTCATTGTTATGAGGAGAAAAAGGATGAATACATTTGGCATGGGAACGGGTAGGGTATTTACTCAGTAAAGTCTTGTATGAAACTTTTGTATGATAGACAGACTTGTATATCGGGTTGGACGAAGAAGATTTGGATTGGGTTGGCACCCCCGAGAGTGGAAACTTTGTTTGGCAAGTAATGCATAACAAATTGGAAGTGAGAACGGAGCTTATTAAGAGAGGTGTGGAAGATGTTTTGTGTCCTCTCTGTAGACTTGAAGAAGAAACCGTGTCGCATTTGTTGGTAACCTGCAAGTTTGTGAGGGACATTTGGTGCTACTTCTTGTGTCTTTGGAATGTTTCAGCGGTGCTGCCATATAATCTGGTGGACCTTATTGTCACTTGGATGGAGTTAAAGTGTTTCTCTCCCATTTGGTCGTTAATACCAGGCGCGACCATGTGGTCGGTGTGGAAATGTAGGAATGAATTAATTTTCAAAGAAGGTTATTTCGATTCTGTGCAACTGGGTTTTCTATGCAGATTCAGACTGGTTTCTTGGTTTGCGGCGAAATTTACTGATGTGAAGAAGCAGTTTGATAGCTTAGTCAGCAATCCAGCCTTGGCGGATATTCAGTGGAATATGAAGAGGGTGATTCCACCCTCATCTGTTTGGTCACCCCCTCCTTCAGGGTTTCTAAAGATTAATGTCGATGGGGCAGTGGAGAAGGAGTGGCTTAGAGGGGGTATTGGAGGTATTATTCATGACGCAAATGGTAAGATGTTGGGTTCTTTTTCTTATAAGGTGGGTCCTGGTCCTCCTATATTGGCTGAATTGATGGCTATTAAAGCAGGATTGCGATTTTTCTTTGGAAAAGAATGGGTTTCTAAAGGAAGATTGATTCTAGAAACAAACTGTTTGAAGGCTTTGAAGTGAATGAAAAACCCTATTTCTTGCCCACCCTTATTCGATTCTATGGTGAAGGACATTTGTGAAGTGGTGTCAAATAAAAATGTTATCCTTAGGCACACTAACAGATGTTGCAATTGGAAGGCAAATGAGCTTGCTAAGTCGGGTATTGGGTAATTTTGTCTTGTTTATGTTTCTCTTCTGTTTTGATTATGAAGTTTAAGTTGTATTAAGGGTTATCTTGTCCAATTAGAGAGTAGGTTTTAGAAAAATTGGGAATGTAGAGAGAATAGTTCTTGAGGTTGTATTTGGGTTATGTAAGGGTGTATTGGAATTTTGATGTACTTGGTATTACAGGAATAAAATTCTTGAGGTATTCTTTTCCTCCCAATTTCCGTCGAACTATTTTGGTAGCTTGATGGTTATGAAGGGGGGTTTTAATGAGACCTTCCTTTTTTATCAAAAAAAAATTTTCTTTAACTTTTTAAGTTTTATTCTTCTGTACTGACAGCGGTGCTTATGTTTCGTAGGATCCACCGGAAGATGCTGTTGTCACTATCTGTGGTCATGTTTTCTGCAACCAATGCATCTCTGAACATCTTAATAGCGATGACAAGCAATGTCCCACCAAAAATTGCAAGGTTCAACTAAATGCGTCTTCTGTGTTTACAAGTAACTGTTTAAGCAGTTCTCTTTCTGAGCAGCCTGGTCAGAATAAGCCTCGTGATTGTTCTGGTTCAAAAGTTGTTGAGGTATTTGGACCTTGTTCTGAGGATAATTTGTATGGTTCTTCCAAAATTAAGGCTGCCCTTCAGGTCCTTAAATCACTAGCTAAGCCTCAAGATCATAGATCAAGGACTAGTGGCTGTCCAGAAGGTTCCTCTGATCTCCATTCTGGGGATTCAATAAATGTCGTTCCTGATGAAAAGGATCTGCTTATGGGTGAAAGTTTGAATAATTCCTGTAAGGTACCTGGGGAGAAGGCTATAGTGTTTTCCCAGTGGACAAGGATGTTGGATATATTTGAAGCCTGTCTTAAAAGTTCTTCCATCCAATACAGAAGACTTGATGGAACTATGTCAGTTGCTGCTAGAGATAAAGCAGTGAAAGATTTCAACACCCTACCAGAGGTCTCAATGACTTTATTTGCTTTACCCCTATTATTTTGTGTTCTATCATAGGGACTGCAATATTCTGGTGTTTAACAATTCTGCTTGGTTCTGAAATTCATTCCTTTGCCTGTAGGTATCAGTTGTGATTATGTCTTTAAAAGCTGCCAGTCTTGGGCTGAACATGGTTGCAGCTTGCCATGTACTTCTGCTTGATCTGTGGTGGAACCCTACAACTGAGGACCAGGCAATTGATAGAGCACATCGAATTGGGCAGACTCGCCCAGTAAGCGTTTTGCGATTAACTGTGAAAGATACAGTTGAGGATCGTATTTTAGCTCTTCAGGTAAGCCTTTCCCCCACTTATGCAGGCACAATGTCTTTTTACCGTTCTCTTTCATGGTTCATACCCTAGCTTTTATCAAATTCATGATTCCTTATTTAATGATGATATGGTTGCTAGCTGCCTAGAGAAGTTTTGATGCATTTGATAGTGTTAATGGTCTGATAGGTTACATTCAGTGTTATAAACATAGATAAAGCTGTTAATATTCTACATAGAAAATGAGTCTTTGCGTCGGCTACACACCTGGCCTGAATGCTTATTTCATTATCTAATAACTAGCGTAATTCTAAATCAATATAAGTTTAAATTTGCATATGGAAGTGTTTTGAAAAATGGTTCCTTGCTTCAATAGAACTTTATCTGCAGTAAATGCCTGCTTATTTTTGTTTTCATGAATTAACAGCAAAAGAAGAGGAAGATGGTTGCCTCAGCATTTGGGGAGGATGAAACTGGAGGGCGTCAGGCCCGACTTACAGTAGAAGACTTGGAATACTTGTTCATGGCCTGATATTCAACTTCTTATAGCTACATTGTTAATTTACATTCCGACATTGTTTACGCTTGAATCGGATCACCCATTTCTTCCCGTAGAACACCATTTCGTGACCCATCTTCCGTCTCGACGTCAAGGATTAAGGCTTTTTCAACACACTGTTAATATTAGGAGAGGATTCTCAGAATCCCCTTGGTCACAGCAGCAAATTTTTGTTTCGGTTTTGGCATGGCCATTGATAGTTCTCAAACCTCTCACCGCCGCTGACATTGTATATGGATTTAGGTCTCTTCTAAAGATGGTATAGAGTTGGAACTGGTCCTTCTTTTAGTTAAAGTTGTAAATGATAGGTCTCCGTTTTGTTATTCTTTTTTTAAAGATACCGAAAATTGAATAGCTTCCACTTTGAGTATACAATTTACCATATGGAGCTACAGTGCATTCATTCACTCATTAATGTCAAACCATGATTATTGCCATTTCGATCCTTGTACTTTTTCTTGTATTAATTTTTAGTTAAAACATCAGAATGAAAATCAGGTGACCAATTGGCATCCCAATTCATAAGTTAATTGAACCTCCTTACAAATAAATCAAACCTATTCTCAGATCTGTGTTAAATCTATCATTGGACCAAGACAATATAACAGTACGAACATTCTCAATGGTGTCATCAGGTTCACCGAACAACAACGAATGCCACATCCCTTCATAGATCTTCAACGTCTTGTCTTGACTCGATGCTTCCCTGTACAGAGCTCGACTCACTTCCGGATCGGTAACCACATCCGTCAGGAGCTCAACAACAGTTCCCAATCTTGGTTTCCCTCTATATCTGAAAGGATTACTATCTGAAAGGATTACTGTTCCCAATAATCATCTTCTCTTACACCTTGATCGACTTGTGCAAGAGATCTTCATTTGGTACAATGGCTAGAGTTGGCATGAAATTGGAGATAAAGGTCAAAGCTTGAGGAATTGGCCATTTGGGTTTAACCTTGTCTGATATTTCACACATGGGTGCCACCAAAACAGCACCTTGGAACCCTTTTGGATTAGCAAAATGAACCAGCAAAGCAATGCCACCACCCATGATTCTCCATAAAGAAAACAGGGCTACCCATCAAAGTTATGATCTTTCTTGATGAGATTGAAGAAAAAGAGACAATCTTGGAGTTAACGCTGGGGACATAACATTTTAGACCTTGGGATCTCCCATGGCCTTCAATGTCAAGTGCAAAGCAAGCGAATCCTTTGTGAGCAAGGAAGATGGATGCGGACTGGAATGTCCAACTTATATCATTGCCATACCCATGGATCCCGAAGATGATGCCACGTGGAGGGTGATCGGATAAGGGAAGCCATTTTCTTGTGAAGAGGGAGAGGCCTCTTGGTGAAGTGTAGAATGATTTTGATCCTTTGATTCCTTGCTGCTTGCAGTAGTCTTCCTCTGAGATGTTTCCCCAGTAATGGAGATTTTCTTCTTGTTCAGCCATGTTTGGAGAGGAAGAAGGAAATGAAAAAGAAAAAAGAACAAAAAAAGTTAATTCAGACAATCAAATTTAAGGCAAAGCAACGAGAAGAAAGGGACATAACCGAAAATATTATAAAATATTTTTGATTGGGTATAATCTAAAATGTTAATATTTTAATATTTTTAATCAATTGAATATATTATAAAGAAAGTTTTTAACTAAAAAATATTAAAAAAGATTAATATTTTAAATTACGCTCAAATAAAAATATTATAATTTTTATAATAGTTTTGATCGTGACTTTTCTTAATCTTAAATTAAAGTCTCTTTCCTTAGCTTCTCCTATAGTAAAATAAATGAGATTGATTTGGGGTTGCTATAATTGTTATCAAATTTGTGGACCCTTTTAAAGGGTTTCTTTATTCAGATTCAGTATAAGATTTCCAATGGAAATTTTTATTTTGGTATAATATCAAAATTAACCTTTGATATTTTTAATGTTAAATTTTTTTAGTTAAAATGAATATTACTAAATGAAAATCGTTATTCAATGTTGTAATATTTTCACATGTATTAAATAATTGATGTGTGACATATTATGTCATATAAAATTATTATATGACATATGTCATGTCATCAAAGATGATGGCATGATATAAGTCATTCAACTAAGATGATGATTGGTATATGCTATAATATCTAAAGTAACAACGTGAAATATAAAAATATCATGCCAGTAATATATTGATTGTTAATCAATTAATAATTTTCATCCAATATAACATGTCGATAATTAAGTACATGTAAAAATATCATGTCAGTAATATATTGATTGTTAGTCAATTAACAATTTTCATCTAATATAAGACATTTTGAACAAAAAATAATATTGAAAACTAAAATTCTTTAAAAAAAAGAATATGAACCAAAATTATTATTCAATCAAATGTTAAAGGTTAATTTTAACTGTATTTTATTTTATAAATTTCATTATGGTTATTTGGTGTAGTTCTATTTTATGATAATCTAATTTAAGACTAAGGAACAACAAGAAACGAACGCAACATAAAATGTTATAAAATATATAATATTTTCGGTTGGACGTAACCTAAATGTTATTTTTTTCCTAACATTTTCAATTGAATAAAAAATGTTACGAAGAATGTAACATTTTCGATTCAATCAAAAGTTTAAAATTATTTTAAGTTGCACTCAACCGAAAAAATTATACTTTTTATAATATTTTTATTACACTTATTTTCTACGATTTCTTAATCTTAAATTAAAATATCGTTCCTTTTAATACTCTCTTGTGTATTTGTATTTCTATAAGTGGATTTATCTTCATTGACGAACCAAGGTTAGCTTGGTTCAAAGTCAATGGTATCATTATGACTCGTAGCCATAGGCTTAATCATAATTGAACCTTATTATTGGCTCAATTTATTAAATAAGGCACCCTAGCTTAGGGTATCTAGACATGAAGTTATGGTTTTGTATAGTGATGGTTCTAGAAATAAATTTAGGGTTAAACGCATATATTAACTTTATAAATTTGTTTGTAAATTGGTATAAACTAAATTGCAGGTACATATAATCAATAAATTAATAATTAAGAAAAAGTTTAATTTTAAAGTGAGCATAATTAATAAAAGGGTAAAGTATATAAATAGTTCTCGAACTTTTAGGGCCTTTGCATTTTGACCACTCAATTTTCAAAATTTACAATACAATCATCAAACTTTTAATTTATTTTCAGTAAGGTACTTGTTGTTATCTCCTCTTAGTTTTTGCAGATGTGAAACTTAACTCACGTTAACCCCTTATTCTTATTCTTGACCCGTTAAGTCCATGACTATGAGTTGACGCAAGCCTTAAATCCAAATGAAAAGACTTAAGAATTGCAAAAGCTTCCCCTGCAAACCCTAAAATTTGTCCCTAATTTCCATGGAAGTTATTATTGTCAAGATCTAGAAGATGAACTCAGGTGAAGAGAAATAGGGGAACGAGAGACGACACTCTTTTCACTCTTCATTCATAAGGCTGTAATATCTCTAGAAGAAGACCAGTCCATTTATAGAGGCGATAGGCTGAAATCAGTTAGGACACGGTCTAACAATCCTAAACCGTCCAATACTAACAACAGGCAAATATCCTGAGTGCTGCAGTACACAAAGCCTATCTCAGTCACAACATAACCATCATTCTTTGCAGCAAACGGAAACAAAGATTCATCAAACACAACATGCCTCGACATACAAATTTTCCTGGTCTCATCCATGCACCTATAATCCCTAAAAGAAGAGCGAAAGTACACTTTGCTGAACGAAAATTCAATTTATGTTTGTTAAACGGCCTCAAAAATGGAAAACAAGCACACCCAAAAACTTGCATAAATGAATACAACGGAACTTGCTTATAAAGCTACTCATAGGGAGACTTACCTTCCAGAACCGGTGTAGGTAACCTATTGATAAGAAATACTGCAATCATAAAAGCGTAACTCCAAAACTTCATAGGTGAACCAACTTGAGCAAGAAGCGTGTTGAACCTATTTTGATATAACAATTTTTAAGGGCAAAATGTTTTTGGACTAAATTGAATTTATTCAAAGTTTTAAAAAATAATTCAAAGTCCATAAAACTTGAATTTGAACACAAAAATGATTTAATGGAAAGAAGTATTGATATTGTTCTTACAGTTTTTCTGTTAGCAAACAACTTGCTGTTGAGAGCTTGCTGTTGGTTTCTTTGCTGTATTCAATGCATTGCGCTTCTCCTCTTACACAAATTTTCCATTATGTTGTTAAATAGTTTAACGTACTGAATGCATTCTGCATCTCTTATAGGAATTGAGGTTCTTTGATTGTGTTAGTCAAATCATGAGAGAACTGAGGTTAACTGATGTGAATATTTGCAGCCATCTTACATGTTTACAGATAAGGAACACAGGGGTCCGCTTGAGTTTGTAGATGAACTTGGAAATCTATCTATTGGTGAAGCAGCAGATAATGTTGCTTCCCGTCAGAGAGTGGAAGAAAATGACAAGGGTCTGCTTTTAACAATTGCGGAGAAAGAAGAAACTAGAGGTTCAAGCATTAATGGTTCTGCGTATACTGTTCCTTATGCTAGTTCTGCATCTGTCTTTGCATCACAAACTCAGATAGAGTCGGCAATTTCAAATCCCCACACAGTGGGCCATTCTCAACAAGCAAGCTTCGGAATTGATGATCTTCTTGGTCTTGGCATACCAGCAGTACCTGATGTGCCATCTCCTCCTCAATTGAAGCTTAACACAAAAGCAGCTCTAGATCCAAGCGCATTTCAGCAGAAGTGGTGCCAATTGCCTGTTGCTTTGTCACAGGTTTGCTTCTGTATTTCCGATTCCCCATGCCTATCTCTTACTTACCCTCTCTCAACGTTAGAATCTTTAATTTGGCAGAACAATATGCAAGGATAGTTCTGTTGTAGTACCTATTCTATGACCATATGGTTTAGAAAGAAATTTATTTATGAAATACATCTTTAGCATCAAAGTATCCTTGGATCTTTTAACAAAAAATCCTTGCCTCATCCTTGAAAACTCGACCAACAGTTTGTCTCTAGGATAGGAAACCTTCCTCAGAACTCAACATGTAATAATTGGTGCAGGAACTCTCACTAAGCCCTCAAGCTGTTGCAGCACTTACAGTTCCTCAAGCTTTACTTCGACACATGCAAAGTCATTCCATCCACTGCATAGCATCAGGTGGTCAGTCCCTCAACTTCAAGTTTTTCTTCTTTGCGCAGAAATTTGAGGAATCTTCTAATTATCTCATCGAATGCATAATCAACACATCATCAGCTAAAGCCCAAGTGGAGTTCAAAGCCGACGATCAAAGTACATCCCAGGCATTCTCAAATTAGCCTTGTCCAAGTTTGGCACTCCATGAACCCTAAAACTACTCCATTTAATGGCTATGGGTAAGGACGTTACTATTTTTAATTCAAAATAAACTGAAAGCCCATTTTGTAGAGAGAATTGTTAAACTCCATTATTGGTAGGTATAGATGTCTGTGAATATGATCGAAACGTACATTTTCTTTTACATAATTGATTCCATAATAGTAACGAATGGTCCCAAGAAGTTTATATTATCTTCAAAGAGAATTTGATTTAATGAATTTGGATTGATTTGAATATTGATTCAATTACCAATGGGGACGAGAATGCTCAAGATGATTCATTAAGAAGAGGATTGACATTTAAGAATAACAATGTTCATTTGTAATCCAGAAGGGTAACAAAACCCCTTTTTTAACTTGTAAAATGCACAATGATGCCAACAGGTTCTTCAATATATCAAAACATCAATAAAGTCATCCACCTTCATCCTTTTTCTCCCTGGAAGGTATCAAAGAATTCAACCATTGCTTCCATGGAGCATCCTCTTGTTGCTCAACCCACGACAAGAAACAACTATCCAACAAGCAAAATAAGTTGACATACAGAAGTTGGTATCTCACTGGTATGTATCGAAAATTTGCAACCTGAACAATCGGCCATAGCCCTCCTTCCAGAATGAATGCCGGGACAAAATCTCTTTTTACATCTTCTTTGATTTGGGGAATACTCTTTCCAGCAGAAAATCCCATGTAAGTGAAAAATACAAGTAAATCCAATGGCCCAAACATAAAACCATCGACTGCGACTTTAGTACCCACGAAACGGAAAGAATTTGGCCGTAAGCGAAGTCGCAACCTTATGCATCGGTCCAAACCTTCGTACCTACAAATGTTACCAAGAAGTTGAGAGTTTCCAACACAAGGTTTGCATATAGAGAACATATTGAGCATGCAAATTTTAACCATGTAAAAATTCTGTCACCTAGTTCAACTGAAAAATAAAAAATGAAAAAGTAGCTACCACAAACCATCACTAGCTTCCATAACAAGCCCCTTACATATTGAAAACCTTACGTGTATCGCAGTTTTCCGATGCATGGTGATCATGTAATACAAACTCTAAGATGCAAAAAGCAAGCATAAAATTCTTAAATTACCAGTAATGACCAACTGGTCCAACAAATCCAAACCCGAACAAGCTTGTAGTAGCAACTCGTTTCCAATTAATCTTTAAATTTTTATCCTTTTCCTGATACATACAAAAAAACAGCGGAAATTCATTCTACTAAAAGAAATAAGCTACAAAAAAGAATGAAAAAAATAAAAGATGCTTAGAACACACATATGGCAGAATGCAATGTCTCCATTGTGGACATCTTTACAAATTACAATAGTTAAATTATTTCTAAGTGATTAGCTTTATACAACAGGAATAACCGGGATTTAATCTGAGGTAACTCTACAATCACGCTTTTTCATTGCATCTATGTTACTCAAATTCGAGTGTGAATGTCAAATACTGGTATGTGTCCAACAAAAGGTATGTTCATTTCTTAAAAAAGTTTCAATTTACTCGAAAGGTCTTTGAAGGATCATATTCCCATACCCGTGTCTATATGTAGGATATGGATGTCGCCGTAGACATCTCTCCTTCAAGAAAAATGAAGAGTCGGAATAACGAAGCATAGTAGGCCAGAACCAGCCTGAAGGTCATGAGGTTGAAAACGTGGTAATTGATGCAAAACTCAGCACCCATGCCAAAGAAAGGCCATCTTTAAATTTAATGCATGTAATCAAGAGACAAAATTCTTTCTTTTCTAAAGAATTCAAACCAAGAAAAATGCAATAAATCATTCAAATGTCCTTACAAATGCAGCTTGCTTGTTCTAAATGTTCAAAAAATTGGCAGATTAAAAGTAAGAGCAACAAGAATCAACATATAGCCTCGATTATAGAGAAAAATGCCAAAAATGTAAAACCCACAAAAAAATATTGCTTCTATGCTTACTTTCCCATAAAGAAGATTCCAAATTCATCAGGGGAAGAAAAGCAAACATGCAGCAACAAGTTTTTCAATTACAACGATAATTCAATAGCATCGACAACAATATCAAAATTCACCGAAAATCAGACAAGTCAAACTCATGAAAATACTCTTAAAGTAGGACATATTATGGCTTCTGATTGTACCTGAAGATGATGGTGTTTCTTGGCGGTTGAGTGAGTAATGGTTTGAGCAGCTATATCACCAAACCCCCAAATCAAGCCCGAGCTCACAACCTGCGTCTTCAGTGGGTGGATTGCCAAACAAGTTTGATAAAATTTCCACAACTTCAACATTTCTTACTTTTACAACAGAAATGAACAAAGGGATCAAGAAAAAAGAAAAAAGAAAAGAGAAGAGCGGATCTAAGGATTAGTTAGAGCACTTCATTTTACAGACTGGAGTAATGGAATCAAAGATAGATCATTTATTTTCTTCTGATTTCTGTTTCCAATCAGCGAAGTCGAAATATTAAAACAGGTTTATGTTTTCTTCTTCCCTGGGACAGAATCTGTCAAATCTTTGCTTTTCTATTTATTCCTTTTTGGGTTTAACTTTCAAACTCTTGCCCTCTCAACCTGGACCATTCTTTCTCACACGATAGCATTCTCCCGTTTTTCTTTATTGCAAAAAGCGACTTGTTTTATTCTAATCTCTAATCGTAGAAAGACCTCTTAAGTCCCTTTAAATTTCAAATTGTGAAATTTGGCCCCTTTCAAGAAATGAGGAGCAGTTCAGTCATTGTCGATTTCGGAAGTGAACAATAATGGACAATTAATCACATATTTAATATTTTGATTGATTGTGATAATAAATTTAAGACGACTGTGAATCTAGTTTCTTATCTTGTTTCTGAATTTGATTGTCGTTGTTGAAATTCTCATAATTTTATAGAAATTATAGAGTTCTGGTCTAAGATGTTTATGTTTATCGAATAATTTCTTCTCTTCCCTTTCGTCCGATATGTAAACTAATTATTTTATAATATTTCAATCGCTATTATCGTTAATTTCTAACAGAAAAGATAACGTAACAGTAGTAATGGAAGGACTAAGGCAATTGAAAACTTCATTATACCTTTCACTTTCATGTACACTCCTGCATCAAGACGATGCAATCATTCTACTACAAAGAATAATACTGTATCTCAAAACATGAAAAGAAGGAAAATAAAATGGGCGGGTGGGGGAAAATCAAACTAATGCAGCAATGCCACGATGAACGAGGTTTGCAACTCCGATCATTGTCGGCACCAGCACTCTGCTAATCTAAAACAGGGAGGTCAAGGCTGTACAAAATATGTCATTACTTCTCATGGTATCCTACACGATTCGATCACTTCACTCACTGCTTTATGAGTCTCTGGAGAAATCATGTTTAACGTAAAATGGAACGCCTGCACAAGGAGAAAATGGATGCATAAATATGTTTCCAAAGTGCAGTAAATTGCTTTGCAGTCAACAAATTTGGTACTTGGATTAAACATACCACAAATCTATCCAAAACAGGTACCAGAACCGACAGGCTGCGCTTTGGAAGACAATCGGCAATTGCATTTCGTGTGCTCCTACTGTCGATGACAGTGTAAAACAGTTTAGTAAGAAAACAAGGAACCGGGCACTGGGAAATATATCGGCCATACTAACCTCTCGGTAGATAGGAAAGCAAGCAGTAGGGCTGCGTACGCTTCTAAAATCATTTTCTCTGCTTCTTTCTCTTCTTGTAACATAGCAGCCTCATCATTCTGTATAATCGAACACAACAAAGGTACAAGGCAAGTCAATGATGATAAATTCAAATTCTTGCTAACACCAAAAAATGCTCCAAGCCAAGAAAAATAAGACATATTCACGTATAAAGGGGGGTTCCTCACCCAAGAAAGAACTTCTCCAGTAGCATCATTGTCTCCTTGGTTCGCAAGGAAAATAGCACATAGCAGGGGAATGACAGCCATGTGACTTCCCTCTCTTAATCCTTCCGAATTCGGTAAAGAAACAGAAGCTGCTGCAAGCCGTGATCTGCATAGAAGTATGACATATAATTGTTAGCATGCCTGTGATTATGAGAAGGCACAAAATGAACGCAACTCTATTTTGAAAGCCACAGCACTGAATGCAAAGAAGATAAATCCACCTGTTATGTTCATCCTTCTCCACTAGGTTCACAAGCAAACCCAGTATTGCTACAAGGAAATCCAACTCTGGATCGGTAAGAGGTCTGTCCTGGTTGTGATGTTCTACACAAAGAGAATTCTCTTCCATTTCACTTCTGCGAGGCAAATATGAGCAGAATGTAGGGTAGTGGCAGGCAATTAATGTAGACAATGTCTCTAGGGCCCCCGAAGCCGCAATTTGCCGACAACCGATTGGGTTGTCATTTGTTAAATTCATCAAAACCTGCCAAAATATCACCACCACTGATCAAATAAACCTCTAGTATAAAAGAGAAATATCATAATGTTATACACAGCAAAGCCAGTTTTATGCAGTCCATTAACCTTCTGCCTCATTGTAATCATACATATTATTACACCTGAAGCCAAAACAAGCACTGCAAAGGTTGGGTGAAATATGAACTACATATTTAGGAATACCTTGACAGCAGCAAGAAGGCAGTCAGAAAGAAGGCTGGAGTATTCTTCTTCAGCGTACTGAGGACTAGAAGTTACATTTGAATGATCATATTCTTCATTGATGGATTTTCTATGGAAATTGTCCACACTTGTCGGTTCCTTTTGGCTCATTGTAAATTGGCATTGATGCTCAACATGGATTTCTCTATTTTTAGGTCCATGTTTCTGATGTTTCTTAGCTTGGGATGTCTTTTTTCTCCCGGATAGTAAGTCCCATTTTGAAGGCACAAATTCTTCTTCATCAAAATAAAAAGGATCCTGACTATCCTCTAAAGGTTGCCATTTTTCATCCTTTGAACCATTGCTTGTTACAGGCAATTCATCAAATGAAATTCCTAATTTCCCACCACGCTTGCTAGCCAAGGAAGAACTGGTTCTCATCTTTAGTAAACGACCATCATTCATGGAAGCACTTTCAGTTTGAAAACTGGGTTCATGATGACCCAACCATTGAGTAGAAGGCCCTGGATCATTCTGAGATGTATTGAAGCTCTTTTCAGATAACCACTCAATGCTTGAGGATTTATCAGACGAACTAATGTAGATAACATCATGTCTATCCACTGCAAAATTGAAAAGAATCAATCAAGTCCAAGAGCAGAAAATAGAACGATATATTCGTTTAATAATCTAATAGTCTAATACCTTTACAATCTGCAGTTGGAGCAAATTCACCATCACCCATTGCTTTAGAATTACCACAAGCCTTTTCAGTACTTGACGATCCACAAGAACTCTTACAATAAAGCCCTGGAAAAGACAACATTGATTAATCAAATGCTATAAATCTTATAAAACATAAAAGACAGTGAGAAAGAGAGAAAGAAGACATTTTGAGGTAGTAAATGCAACAACAATAACCTGAGAGAATCTTGATTACACTTATAACAAGCTTCGTAAAAGATATTTGAGATCCACGAGACTTCAACTTCCATTTCATTTCTAGCAGATGACTCTACAGTAAAAGTAAAGAAAAACAATCTTAACAGCTTAATAAATGTGACAGTTTAGTTATACAAATCAAGCTTAAAAGGAAATTGAAATCAAAATAACTGAAAATTACAACCCAAGTACCTGATTATCACTACTAAGGAATGCAGCATTTTCCATGATTTTCAAACATTTAGAAAGCAGCACCAGGCTCTCCAGATCCTTTTTATCTTCGGTAAGAGGAGAAGATAAACTCTGCTCCATCCAACCCTGCAGACAAGATAATGCATTATAAGTCACTGATGAATGTCTTCTTGTAAATGTAAGAGATGGAACCAGAAGACATTCCCAAAATTTAAAGCAGTATTTTTTTAATCTCCTTCGGTTGAAATGCAAAAGAACAGAAATCAGATAAGCTCACACCTCCATAAAGGAATGGCACTCCATGGCCACTTCAAAGACTGCATCAAGTCCTCCAAGCTCTCTTAGTTTCTCCTTGAAATTGCCCCCAGTTTTTCTTACAGTACCAGTTGCATCTGAACGAATGATACCAGGGGGAAAACATGAAAAAAAATTCAGCAAAAAATGAAAAAGCACCTGACTGTAGTGTATGAGTATGTATTTTATATGTAGATATGTAGTTGTGTTTAGATCTATATTGAGCTACCATTACAGTTCCAGGAAAACAATCTATAAATAAACATGTATAAATCTTAGATATTTCCATTAGATACCTTCAAGAGAAATTTTAGACAAACAGGCTTTCTCCAAAGTCAACAAAACTATCCATTTTGGGATTAACTCAGGCCTTCGTAAACCAGTATCATCCCCACATTTTGGCTTCATTTCCTTGCAACTAACAAGAATTTCCTCAACTTTGGAAGCAATGGCTGCAGAGCTTGAATCCAACACTTGAGTTGTATCCCGTGAAATGTCAGCATCCTTGAGTAATGCCAAAAGCTTAAAGCCCACTTTCTCTGTTTTGTTTTCTTTAGCAGTGGGGGTAATTGGCTTTAAAGTTTTAATTAGAAATTGGATGCAACAGGGTGACTCCAGGAGTTGGTCATCCTGACCCTGACACAATAAATTCATACAAATGTTGAAGATTACTGTAATTGACATGTTCAAAACATTTATTTCGATTATATCCAAATATTGGTCTAAGGGACAGGAAGCATAAAAGCTAGGCATATAAGCAGGAACCTCTTGCCATCCGAAATTTTAAAATAAAGAATAAAAATCAACTGAAGATAAAATGGGAAACCCAAATGTGTGGTAGGGCAGATTAGCATGTAAGACTCCAATAAAAGACACAATTAGTCATTAACAAAATTTGTTTGTGCATAAATAATAGTACTAATAACTATTGGATCCAAACCTTCTCACATGAACCCTATGTGTGCATAAAATCCTCAAGACTATTAAACAGAAAATACTTTTAGATTCATAAATAGTAATTGAATTGCAACTTCAAGTGCTGAAAAACTTACATCATAGGTTAAGACATAGAAAAGGGCCACAGCAGCCAGGTTGCTAGGGATGTCATCAAAATTGAGGCCCAAAATAGCATCAATTATTGTCTTAGCCATCCTGAAAAGAGCATATTTGCAAAGCCAGTGTAAAGACAACGGAGTGAATAGAGTAATTCTTAAGGGAAAACCACTCCATCTTTTATATACACATTCTTTTAGAGTGAAACAAGCAGGGGAAGAATCTATTAAGGGGTTGGGAGTGGCTGTTGCCCTCCCAAATTTTGGAATAATAGCATTTAAGTCCTTTTTAGTTTAAATATTAGTCAAATAAGACCTTTGCCCCTCCCAATTTTGAGATTTAAATACTCAATAGAGCCTTGTTCTTTTGATATAAAACAATTTAGCCCCTCTCAATGTTT